TATGACCCTGTCACACAGACTCTTACTGGTTCTGTTCTAAGGTGCTGGCGTGTGCACCCATCGACCTGGTGAAGGTGCGCCTGCAGGGTCAGACGTCCGCCGACCGTTACCGTGGACCGCTCCACTGTGTCGCCGTCATCCTGAAGGAGGACGGTCCCAGGGGTCTGTTCAGAGGAGGGCTGGCCCTGGCTCTGAGGGACATACCCTGCTATGGACTCTACTTCCTGCCCTACGAGGTGGTTAAGAACACTCTGACTGAGAGCGGCCGTGAACCAGGTCGGTTATGACCCACAAAGTCAGAACCATAATACTTCATCTGTATTGTTAGATATGAAAATAATGATAATCATTTTGAAGGACAACTGAACAGAATGGTCCAGTTACATTAAGAGATGACCTACTTCATACTCAGAGCCAGATTACTGTTTTGTTCCTATCCTTTATGCTTTAAACACTTTTTGTAGCAGCAGAGTGTCTTCAGTTCTGGTTAAGGGGGATTTTTTTCCCCCATTCTTCCTGCAAAAGGCTTCTGGCCTCTACTGCTGTCTTGCGTGCTCCCTGGAGGTCTGTCCACAGATCCTCTATAGGATGGATGGATGGATGGATGGATGGATGGATGGATGGATGGATGGATGGATGAGAGGTTTTCTGCTGTTTACTCTTCCATGAAGCTCATATTCGTGACTCTACCCTCCAGAACAGTGAACTCCACTCTGATGAATTCACTGGAAGCTCTTTTGAAGTTCTTTGGTTGAGTTTCTAGCAGTTCAGTCGGCAGCTCTTGTGAGAACTCTTCTTGGTCTTGCAGACCTCTACTTCACTTCCACTTCTCCTGCCATTTCTTAGTTAGTTTAGAAGCTGATTAAACAGCCCCCTGAAACACCTTCCTGTCCTCGTCCAGCCAGCTCCTGTGTCGTGTTGAGATGATCTGGGCAGCTGCTGCTGGTTGTTGAGACAAGCTTTGAGTTGGTCATTAAACAGCTCTGAAGCTCCCTGACAAATGAATCGAGGTCTGAGAGCTTAAATCTGTTTGGCTGGTCAAACCTTTGCTTGATCCTTCTTTCATTTCTTTCAAATTGTACAAAACATAAACAGCACAATAATAGTGATTTAAAGGCTTTTGCTGATCAGTTCATCTTAGACTCAGTTTTTTGTCCAGGGTGCCTAAACTATTGTAGAAATAAGTAGAAGTTTGGACTTTGTGATGTTTAGATTCTTATATTTTTGACTAATTGTCTTCATGCTGACTTGGTATCTTTTTGACTTTTGTCGTTCCTTCTTTTCGTCTTTTCTCTGCAGAAACAGGTTTAGAAAAAGAAGATAAACAGACCAGAAAAAGCAGCATTTATAAATGTCCTGTTCTTATTTAAGCTGCTATGATTTCAGTGACTTCCATTAATTGCAAATGGCGTCTGTTCTCAGGCACCTTTGCGATCCTGACGGCGGGCGGATTGGCGGGTGTGATAACCTGGGCCTTCGCCACGCCCATGGACGTGGTGAAGGCTCGGCTCCAGATGACGGGTGCTGGCGGCCGGCACTACAGCGGCGTCCTCCACTGCATGAGGGTGAGCGTCAGGGAGGAGGGAGTCAGGGTGTTCTTCAAAGGCTTCCTACTGAACAGTGTGAGGGCCTTCCCCGTCAACGCCGTCACCTTCCTCAGCTACGAGAGTCTCATGAAAGCTTTATCCCCACCAGCAAAGCCAAGCGTGTGAATGGATGCGTGCCTTGCCTTGCAGAATGACAGAAATGACTCCTTATGGATATTTTATTACACGATACGACTGTAGGTCTGATGTTCTTATGGTGCCTTTGTTGGATGATGAGCATTGAAATACTGTTTTCTAGCTGGACCAGGTCAACTCTCATGTAGCTAATGTCAGAAACTGGGACACTTTGAAGGTCATGTAGTTTGCCTTTAGTTGGTTTCATGTGATTGAAGATATCAATGTTTAGCTGTTTCATAGGAATCAAACCCACTTTACTTTACAAAATCAGAATCATTACCTTTGTTGCACATTAAATGCAAACATTTGCCTGTTTTTTTTTTTACTGTAGGGAGTTTAAATCCCGACCACTGGACACAAACACTTGAAGATTTTCCTAATAAACGATACAGAAATATGCAGTTGATCTTATTATTGGAAGTCTTGACAGCCCTGGATACATAAACGTGCAAATCAGAGGAAGATAAAGTGTTTGCTTTGTGTAGGAGGTTCCTCAACCAGCTGCCTCCAGGTGGCGCTCTGGGAGTGTTCTGCCTCTGACGGAGGTAACGAACCCAAACCAGCCACCACAATAATAAAACAAACTACACACATCAGACACAGGTGGGATTTACTTCACACTGACGGGTGGTGACCTGAGCCACAGTGGTAAATGGTCTGCATTTACACAGCGCTGTTATCCAATATGTTCACACACACATTCATACACTAATAGCGACAGAGCTGCCATGCAAGCTGCTGCCTGCCATTGGGAGCAACTTCAGGTTCAGTGTCTTGCCCAAAGACACGTCGACTGTGGAGGGGATCAAACCACCAACCTTGCGATTGGAGGACAACCAGCTCTACCACCTGAGCCCCAGTGATCATCTCCTCTCCCGTCATTCATGCTGATGCTACTTCAACATGTATCACCCACATTGTTCCAGACCAAACCCCACCTTGATCTAGTGTCTGTGGATGGTGCCAGAACTAGCCTGATCCACGGATGTCCAGCACCACAACTAGCGTACTACATTTCACAACTATGTGGGACGACACTAAACTGGATGCTGAGAGCTGTGCATGTGGCCCACTTCCTGAAAGGGGTGTGGAAAAAAAACCCCATTAGAACAGAGCTAAAACCCAGGGTATTATAGGCACGGGAGACTTAAATATCTGAGCAATATTATCGGTTGTTGTGCAATATGGACCCTATCAAGGTTCTGTTCACGCTCGCTGCTTTCATCAGCGTTTCCAGAGCAGTTGACCTGACGTTCACTTTGTACACTTCCTGCCCCAAAATCAAACAGCAGTGTTAGCAGTGAGCTGGCATTTGGCACATAGAGCCACACGGGCTGGAGGAGAGTGGCAACAGAACTAAAATAAGAGTAAATATTGGACTTCAATTCATCAGGTGGCTGCCAATGTTAATCAATGTTTGCCAACACATCTATTTTAGCTGCTAAGCCAGTGTTGAGTTTACAGGTTCAGGTCAGCGGTTAGGACACATGACCACTCCCTGCTCGCTCCCCACATCGTGTGACCTTCTCTCCGATGTGCCTCTCAAACTAAGACAAAAAAAAAAACATGAGAACATTTCCACGGTGATGAATGAACCTTCAAGCTCAACAGAAACGAGCTGCTAATAGAGAATAAATGTGATGAATGAAGACTCATTGAGATGCTGGTGTGCTGTATGTAAATGAAGAACCTGCTGACCACCGACACATGCCGAAGACAAAATACTTTTAATATCTGCACAGTGTCCGCCAAACATCGGTACGTCCACACGAACATTTTTACATCTTTGATTTGCACAGTCCCAAACACAGTTTTAATTACCTCAACACTTTCCACAGACGAGCCTTTGAACAGAAGGTGCATTTTAGAGACACGGAGGATTAGTATAAAACGACATCGTATGTATACAGCTTCTTTAATAAGCACATGTTGAGATATAAATTCTCAAACGGTAATAGAAAACAGTCATGCAGAATGAAAATATCAACAATGGGAATTTTTTTGAAATGCTCAAGTCAGTGACTCCTACGATCAGGCTCTGTGGTCACAATACATGTAAGACGAGAAAAAAGCTGCTTCTTCAGGCACAAAAACTGCAGTAAAAGTGGAGCATTACTAAAATGCTCTCCAAAAAAATGAACTGACAGCTGCTGGACTGACAATGATTAACACCAGCGAGTCCGATTGGACAGCTGATGGACTTTGTTAGTCGCTGAGCTCAAGAACAAGAGACTAAACGCAGCACGTCAGAACAAATGTAAATGTGTGTTCAGTCATTGGCACCATGTAGCTGCTTTTGGCAATGTGGCTCAGTCCATCGACGTGGAACAAGTTTCACTTTCACCACAGAAATCAGACTCAGTGAGGAGAGAGAGGGAAACAGGCATCCTCCAACAGCTCATGTGTTCATGGATGAATGTAGGTTGAACACTTCAGACCTACTTCAGAGCAGGTTTCTACAACCTCATCACAACTTAGGTTTTGTTTTTGAAGTATTGATCTTGTTTTTAATGACAGAAATACGATTGAGGTAACGTGAAGAAAAAAGATCCAAGAAACAGCCAGTCAGACAATCACACCGCCTGGAAACGCATCAACAGTTCTGCAAATCTGTCGGTAAAACCAACAGATTTTAGCAGCATTAAAGGATTTGTGACTAAGAAAACCAAGTTCAAAGAACCCTAAATCACATCAGCATGCTTGAAAGGCAGGTTTTTTAGTTTAATTACCAAAATGACTCCATTTATCAGAGCCAGAAGATGTTAAAACAGAACTGTTGGGTTTTCAATACTCCAACAGTCTGTGATGTAACACTTGGTCATCAAATCTAAGCTTAAAATCATAATATTTAGTCAAAATCACTTTTTTTTCTACAAGTCTCCTGTAAAAATCTGACCAAAACAAACTGGTCGAGTCAGATTTGATAAAAAAACTATAAATTCCTGCTCCTCAGCCGAACCGTGAAGTCCTGAGTGACTCAGCTGCCTCGTCACCAGAACTCTGGGACTGTCCAGCTGAACTGCAGGCTGTGTACACCGAGGAGACAGGAAGCAAGCGTGAAAACAAAAAAAGAAAAAGAGAGGGAAGCTGATGTTCAGAGGGTTCACCTTCCCTTCAGCTTTATTTCACAAACCCGGCGTTCATCTGAAGCGCCCGTGATCGTCTGACTGCTGGACAGAAAGCGACGGCGCCAACGGGCTACAAAACCTAAGTTGTGACAAACAGTTTTTTCTCAGAAATGAAGAATGTGTAATAAACAGCAGCTTGTCCATCCGTTCCCTTTCTGAGCCCATCTGTTCAGGAGGACAGGGCTGGCATCCCGGCATGCTTTGGAGAGCAGTCAGTTTACAGAGACAAACAAACAAAAACACGACATGACGGAGGGACAGCATTCCCAGAATGCAGCATGTGGCGTTCAAATGTTTGACACTTTTTTCAAAAAAATGTGTCAAACGGCCAGTCTAAGCTTTGGCTGGACGAGCCTCAAAAAAGGCCTCACATCTCAGGCACCGGTGCCCTGCTCACACCTTATGTTCAGATGCCATCGGAATACATGTGCACTGGATTACACATAACAAAATTTAAAACGATTTACAGACAAAATACATTTAGTCGCTGCTGTACCACAGATAAGAGAAACCAGCATACTCTGGAATGCAAACGTAAGTCACTTCCTTAAAAAAATCTGAAAGACGCCCTGAGCTTCTCCTTTTTACAGACCGACACGAGACAACGAAGGATCAAGCTTACTTAAAGTGGTCATCTAGTCAGTGTGTGGACTTGGCCCAAACCGTCACCTCAGGCAGCATCGCAGCCTCCAGCGCCGAGCGTTTAGTGAGACTCAGAGGCCTTGAAGTCCTCCTCCTGCAGTAGTGATTTCTGGTTCTGCTCTGCCGCCATCGCCTGTAAGGTCTTCCTCTGGATCTGCCTGGCTTTGTTGTACAAGAAGACTCCGATGAAGACGAGGACGGTGCCGGCGGCGCTGAGGATGGTGATCTGGTTGCTGAACACGATGATGCTCAGCCACACCGACAGCGCGTGTTTAACGGTGCTGGCGACGCTGAGGAAGAAACAGGGTTGTGACTGCTGGGATTACATCACATTCAACCCGTTTGAATCCCAAAAACCCATCAGTGGGCTTGAGAGACTTTTCTTCTAGAAATAACAGGAAGTGAAATGACACCACGAGAAGCTGGATTTTTCACCTTCTGACGTCTTGGACCCTCTCATCTATGACATGCTGGTTTGATGGAAACATTCACCACATCTAAACCTAAAATCATGACACTACATAATCATCACTTTGTTCTTTATGTCTCTTCTTTAAAAATCACCATAAATATACCATTTGCACTAAACAGATGCTGTTGGCCTCAGTGTCACTGGGAGTTTTCCACTGCACCAGGCTGAACTGCAGCATGTGTAGACAGTATGGAGACAGCAGTGAAATGTAAACAGTTCAAATATCTGTATATTTAGAGCAACCTCTCATCCAGTGCTGGTAACACCAGTGGATACTTGGAAACATGTTGTACACATGGATACCAGGTTTTTATCGTGGATTAATCGTAGCAACCGGACTTGTTTGAGTTCCTTGAAGACGTTCCACCTCTCATCCAAGGGGTTTCGTGGGGTTCGTTTCCCATCGTGTCAGGGGGACGGGAGGAGCAACAAACCCCCAACTGAAACCCAAGCTCAGTTGTTAATGTCTCCTTCAGGATATCAGTATGTGGAACTCCCAACTAGTCAGTCAGAGCTGATGAAGCCTCTTGGATGAAGGTGGAACGTCTTCAAGGAACTCAAGCAAGTCCAGCTGCTACGATTAATCTACAAGAAGAACCATGACCTGGATGACTGAGAACCTTCACAGACATACCAGGTTTTTCAGTATTTGTGAAATAAATAATCAAAGTGCACAGAAGACATTTCTGACTTCTCTCTACTTCTGGCTGTAGTTGAGCTGTTTCCATACAGGTGAAGACCTTTTAGTGTAAAACGAGCCAAGAAACCCAGAAAGTGCTTAAAACTGGGTCCACATACAGCAGCATGCTCATTAACAGTTTCACAGCACCTTCATTATGTGGCTCTGACTCTGTATATGAAGCCTGCACTGAGAGCCAGGAGGTCTAGTTCCTGTTTTCATAGTGTGACAGTGTGCTCCCCTTCAGTCCCTCAAAGTACAACAACGCCGACGTTAAAATCAATAAGACAAACAGTCTGTGTGTACTGAAATGTGGGACACAACACAAGTTTGTCTTTCGACTCGCTGTTGTCCTACCTGAAGGTAACGGGGGATATCCGGCCCATGAGAGCGTAGGCCGTGACGCTCTGCAGGTGAAACAGGCAGCCGTCGAAAAGCAGCAACAGGATGATGTCCTGGCTGATGATGAAGCTCTGGCCACTCTTCCCGCTCACTGGAATGTCCTGAAAACACAGAGCAGAGTGCAACAACCGTAAATAAACTACCTGCTTGTTCTCCTGTGTGAGACATCTTATTGGAGTGACATCTGCTAGAAACTCTTCCATAAATAAGTAAAGACTAGAGGGGTATCACACACATGTGACAATAGTTCAGCACACAAGGATTTAGCAGCGGCGTGTTGACCTACCAAGAGGAACACCCAGGCCGGTATCAGCATGATGATCGCTGCTGCACTGGTATAGAACTGCAGCTCTGGAGGGCTGAAATAAGACAATATAATCAGAGTTGGAAGTCTAGTTTAACAGCTGCAAACAAGAAGAATTTCTCGTCTCTTACCTGAATCTGTATGTGTCTCCACTTAGCAGTTTTTTGGAGAATACGTTCTGCAGGCTGAGATGAGAGAGACAGAGTTAGTAAAGCATCATCGCAGCGCTGCGGAGAAGCTCTGCTGAGTGCTGCAGTACCAGTCCATGATGTTGGTGGAGAGGGCGGCAGAGAAGCCGAGCATGTTGAAGCTGATCTCGGTGGCTGTGCAGAGCGCCAGGCCGGCCATGACCGGGAACAGGGACAGGTTTACCCACAGGCCTGCAGGTCGGAGAGCAAACAGTGCACACAATGAAACAAGTCACGGAGCTTATCAGCACAAACCCATGACTGATTTCCTTCTGGTACGCCGCCGCTATGCACGAATATGATGTGACTGATAGGGCAGTTGGAAGCCTCCGTATTTGGAACAGTGAGGAGTTTAAGGAGACAGTGGACCAGAGGGGTGCTGGTTTCATTTAGATCTCTGCAGTGCCTGAACTGAGCTGTAAGTCCGTGTGTCCTGGCCTCACTGCACATATGCAGTATGTGCAACATGACTTTAAACAACAGCTTCTGCAGCTTCATATCATCACATTCCCACCTCCAGGCTTCACTGCCAGAACCACGTATCCACTGTGAAACATGCTGGTACCCATCTGAGCAGAACAAACATATCTACTCATTTGACCAAAGAATCTTCATGTTGTCCAACGAGTTCCATCTTGCAGTTTGGCTCAAAACCAACAACATGCATCGGACTCCCTGTTAGACGTCCTCTGGAGCCTGCACACGAACGTGGGTGTTTACCTGTGTACTCCCCAAGGATCAGCCTGGACATGATGACGGTAAAAATGGGCGCTGAGCTCTTCACGGTCTCAGCAAACGACACCGCAACGTTCTTCAGGCTCACTAAGCCCAGCACCACAGTGGTGAACCTGACAACAGAGACGACGACGTCAGGGTTGAACGTAAACTTGTAAATGTAGGAGTTGTGGTTTATTAAGCTAGTTCTGCACCTCAAAACACGAGCATTGTCTAATGAACCCCCCTTGAGTTAGTACTTTACCTGCACACATTAATGAGCATGTTTTAATCATCTGTAAGTAACTGTAGAGTTTAGATTGACCCACCTCATGAGCCCCACAAACAGCATGATCATGATGAAGTTGGGGGGATACTCTGATCTGGACTTGTGCTGATACAAGCAGCAGGGGACAAACATCTTCAGACAGCCTATGACGGTGGTGGAGAGCATCTGAACAGCACCTGAGGAGCACAAGACACAAAACAAAACAGAACTGTCAATGTATTTCTTGCACTGACTTGAAAAAACTTAAATATTTACTGGTGCTGCTGCTGGGAGCGTTACACTATCATCAAAATGCAAACACTTAAATCTACTTCAGAAGACTGCGTTAACAACTAGTACACTGTTATAAGACATAAAATAACAATGAGGTCACTGTGGGGCGTTTCAGTTTAACGTCTGTGGCGCCCATCAGGCCGTTCGTGATGTGAAAGTGTCCTTAAATAAACCTGCAGAGTCACTTTAAACCTGCTCATAGCCGCGCTATCAATGACGCAACATTTTGTTCTCGAACAAGTTTCATGTCTCTGAAAGTTGCTTTTCATGTTGGGGAGGAAGTTAATCTGAGAAATGATCAGCATGTTTCTGACATCGCTTCTCACTTTTACTCTGAGTCACCGTTTTACATGAAAACCTGCGTGAACGGTACGTTTGTCAGCCAGTGTCTCAGTGAGAAGATCTGTAGCCTGGAAATGGAAGTCATTGGGGGTTAACGTGTCGTCTTAATGGGCTGATATATTTCACATTCCTTCATACTCTACAGCGCTACAGAAATGGCAGTGGCTTTTATTTTATACCTCCAAGTTTTTAAGACACACAAAACACAACAGTAAGGACTTTAACCATTTTAATGTGAGTAGTAGCAGAAGTATCTTAGGCCTCCTTACCCAGCATGCTGGGTTCCCCTTCCAGCAGTGACAGGATGTACTTATTGAGGAACAGGGTGCAGAAGCTGAAGAAGTACCAGAGGCCCAGGTAGGTCAGCGAGCGCCAGTTCCAGACGCCAGACTCTGCCTCGATCACCGTGGTCTCCGTGACCGTGATCTTCAGCACCTGCTCCCCCGGCAGGCTCTCGCTGCGGGCCAGGACCACGCGCTCCTGCCGGGTGCGGAACGGCGACAGGAGGCGCCACAGCGGGTGCCGAGCGCTCTGCCTGCTGCCCGGCATCACGCCTGCTGCCTGAGGGCCCTCAGGGGCCCAACAGGCGGGTTACAAGAAGGGAGATGATGAGCTGAGGAGCGTGTTGATGGTTAGTCCATCTTCATCTGTGCCCAGCAAGAAATCTGTCTTTTTGTCTTGCAGTGGCAGCTGGGAATGGATTACGTACTGATGCCACCTGTCCAGGAGCTGGAAAGAAGAAATATTGTCGTCTGTCAGGTGAGAGGAACAAAGAAAACCCTCACAAAAAAAGATCACGGGGGGGGGAATTCAAATTGTGACACAATACTAATAATAATAACTGTCCATCCACGACAGGTTGTTGAAGATCTATGTGTATTTAGTCTTGTGCCAATCTAATATTTTATACAGAATAACAACTGCATGGAGCACAGCTTTCATTATCACTACTTCATCAACACTGTTCATCTGTTAGCTGCCTTCACTGGCAGACAGCTGATACAGTAGCAGTGGTCATCCTGAGAACTCACATGAGGGTGGCACAAAGTCTCGTTCACATTGGATTGTCTTTCAGTAAAGCCCTGCAGGCCAAACAGTCATTTCTTTGGTATTTCGCTTTTATCATTGTTTAAGCATGCAAAGCTGTCATCCATCCATCCATCATCTCTACACCTTAATCCTCACTAGGGTGGTGGGGGG